AAAAATTTTTTATTAAAAAAAAAAAAAAAAAAAAAAAAAAAAAAAAAAAAAAAAAAAATAAAAAAAAAAAAAAAAAAAAAAAAAAAAAAAAAAAAAAAAAAAAAAAAAAAAAAAAAAAAAAAAAAAAAAAAAAAAAAAAAAAAAAAAAAAACCCCTTCAATAAATATGTGGAAAGACTTTCTGTTAAAAATATTAAAAAATTACCCCTTTACATTTCAGAAGTCATCCCGGTAACTTAAAATATTTTTTTCAGATACTCAAACATTTTTTAAATGTACCATTTTTTATGGCATGCTACAGGAATCTCTAGAAAGCAGATTTCAATCGAACTTGGTTAGAAAAGATTAATGTAGCACCCCGGTATGTATCACTTCTACTTCGTTTTTAGAACCAGCATCCATCGGGCCCATTTTCCTAACAACAGATGCCTGATCCACCACTTTCATTACACATCCCGAAAGATAGCATATCGCAGCACTCAGCGACGGGGTTAACTCCTCCGAAATAAACGGAAGGACCCGCCGATATGAACGATGATAAATGCGGTGCGCAGGAATTAAGTTCAATTTAAAGGGTATTTAGGGATCAACCACACATCGGCGACAGGAAATCAGTTTGGACGATCTATCGATCGATCGAACACACAAAAAGGTAAACTCTCTTCTGGGAGTGACGAAAGATCTTGTCCATTAGGTCGTCTGCAGGCAGTTAATGGCTGCACCACAAAACGAAAAAAAAACAGAAACACACAAAAAAGGGCCACAACGGTGGCTCAGAGAGATTGATATGTTTCCTGGACCCACAGACGATCGGCGCTGATCATAATGCCCTGATTATAGTTTTGTGGTTTTTAATATTCATGTCGATCAGCAGGCCTAGCGATATTTGTTTGATGAATTTATTGCCCCACTGATCAGGGAACAGCGATCGGTAATCGGCGGCGTTTTGTTTTATCCGCGGCATTTCTTTAATGGCTTTTCGGTTCTGGCTTTGGTTTTGGTTTTAGGATCGTAAAATGCCCAGTTTAACGGTGTGCGGCGTGGAGTGTGCTATAGTTATGAGTCTGAGATGGGTCTGGACTCGATTATCTCACAGATAGTGGTGGGTTTTATTGATTAGAACATGATTCGGATGCATGTTTACCTAAAAACAGAGCGTTTTAAAGTATCCTAAACAACAAAAAGTCCTTAATGTTGTAAAATATACATATGCAAAGATATTTCTAAATGCTTTTTTCTCGCACAGCAGATCCATTCATTTCTGATTTACCCATCTCTCTGATATCCAAAACAATGTCGCTATGGTCACCACTCTATTCCCACGCTAGACAAAAACAGATTCCAAGAACTTTTGGTTTCCAAAGGGATCGACTGACTAGCCCCCTTTCGAGCCCTATTGAACAGCTCCTTGGAGCTTCATTGTCAGCCCCGATTTTCCCCGTCAAGTGCGTAATTGCTGACAGCCCGGCTCCTTGCTGCCAGCTCTTCAGATCAAACGATCCAATCGCTCATTACCAAAATCGAAGCCGGGAAGGGTCTGAGGGGAGAATTCGGGAAAGAAAGCCAGCTTTGAAGACGCGCCGAACGGCATTGTTATTCAAATTCAAGGGGCGACACTTGACCGGGCCCAGAAAGAAATGGGAGAAATGAAGAGGAAAAACTACTGGGACAAGAAAAACTACATCAAATTGGCGCTTAAATATTTTCTGACCAACTGTGGGAAACAATAATATTGGAACAGAGAGAGCCAGGAACGAAAGCGCATTTACTTCAGCAGTAAACTTGGCTTGAAATAAGGTATAAGGTATACCTATTGGTACACATATATGGTAGATGGTGCAAGGCCTGGACTGGCCACTTGAGTTTTGAAGCGTTAAGTGGAAATCAATGCAGACCCCTGCTATATCTCTCTGTTCGAAAGACTCCCGACCAACCTGGCGAACGATCGAGTGAAGCAATTGACCAAAAACTGTCGAACTGACGATCGGCAAGCGGTACACTTGTTCGGCTTTGTTGTTGACCATGTTCTCTTAACCGTTTGAGCCCCTTTTTTCCATCAGCTCTTCTTCTTCTTTGTCAGTTTTGGGCGCGCGGTAGGTAAAAAAGAATATCGAGTCGAATCTGTTTGGGAATTTTTCAACATTTTCTTCGGCCCCGTCGGCGTCTCTTGGAAATTTGTTTGTGCTGGCCAACGGAAATGCATTTATTTGCTGACGTCTTGGACCGAAATGAAGGGGCTCTCCGTCTCTTTCCGTCCCCGGTCAGCCGTCTCTTTCACAGGGGCGTTAATTGATGAATCTGCGCGATCGAAGAAAGAGTCTGGCCCTAGCCTGTAGGTTCAATGACTATACCTATACCCCCCAAAAAGACACACTATGTGCTATTTCTCGGAATTTCTTTCGGGCCATGATTTCCTTTTCGGCCAAGTCGAACTTTCTGTTCCACGTTTTTCGGCCGCTCTTTTTCCCTGGTTTTCCCTTTTGGGTGTTCATGTTAAACACATCTATTTATATTTTAATGATGTTTGTAATGATGGTGCTAAATATTTCCCACATTATTAGCACCTCTTCGTCTGGGTCTCGTCGCGGCTCTGGGTTTTCGGGCCGAGGGCTCAGGGCCAGGCGGCAAAGTCATTGAGGGATTTTCGTTGGGAACAAGTTGTGTGTGATCTTGTCACAGAGAGTAAGCCCAGGTAGGGTTAAAGTTTGTGTGTGGGGAGAGATAGGCGGAAAAGGATTAACAAATTTGTTTAAGAGGGGTTTTTGGTGAAGGTAAGTCAAACACTAAAGAAGATGAATGAATGGGCCTTCGGTAGAGAAAGAGAGAAGTGGAAAAGTACAGATATGGGGGTTTTTATAAAATTTCTTAAAAAGTATCATAAGATTTCAATTTAAATGTAAGTAATACATACAGTCCAGAAAAGGTAGCTCTTATAAAATAAAATCAAAAGAATATTTTTTTCGAAACCAAGTAAACCATATCTCGCACTCATTATGAAGACATATGGGCAATCGTAGTTTTATACGATCTCAAAAGAATCTGATTGATCACTGGCGCTGCCGCCTTCAACGATGCCTAACAATGCTAAACATTTTTAATGAACTGCCAGGCAAACAAGCAGCCAAACTCATATGGAATATGGATAGAGATAGATATAATGATAGAATAGAGGGAGTCCCAAAAAAAGGGCCGCCAGGGACTGGGATTCATTTGATCAAGAAATTAACGGTTTCGTTACTTGTTACATGCAGCCCATGGGCCACAGGGTAAGGGTTAGGTGTTGATTGGGCAACGCCCTGAAAATATGGCCCGTCTATAGGGACAGGGATAGGGGATCCAGCCAGATTGCGTTCTTAAATTTATGGCCGCACATGATGAGCTATAAAATGTTTTATGGCCCGGTCCCCAGTTGCAGTTGCGGTCCTAGAAGAACTACATCCCAATACCCCATACCAATGCCATACCACCTCAACAATTTTCGCCTTCTGTTGGTCTGAAATTAAATCGTGTGATTTATTGACGTGTGGCCCGCTTCTGTTTTGGGAAATGGAAAAACGTTGTGGTTTCCCGTGTGTGTTTTATTGTGTGTCTTTATTTTGGGTGGTGAAAGTTCCACCTCCCTTTCGTTTCGCTTCCCCCAGAATTGATTGAGATGTCAGGATTCATTAGCAGCCATCCCTTCCCTTATTTCGGCGACATTTTTCCGGCTAACCGGGTACTCGGTACTTGGCTGACCGCTGTAAATCCGCCGGGGAAATTCCCGGCCAAACAAGTGGGATAAACCCGAGGGCGGCTCGGTTTTGGTTGGAACTAGGGATAATCCCCGACTACCTGGGCTTAGCCATGCAAATGAATGAAGTTTTCTGGCTGCGAAGGTGAGAGGGCGTGCAAATTGACAAAGGAACTTTTCGCACATTAGGCCGTAAGTGGTTATGTCCCTGTCCCGGGCCAGCTGGAAATTTTCACGCGCACTCGCAGCAAACAAAAATTATTTTGCACCTGTTGTTACTGCATTTTCCAGCATTTTGCCCGCTTCCCCTGAACCTCCATTGTCCCTGCCTTTCTTCTCCTATTATCCTGCTGTGCGAGCCTGTGTAGCTCGTGCTGGTCCTTGTATCTCTCTGTTTTTCGGCTTTCCAGGCAGCAGCTGCAGCGGCTCTAATTGGCCATGGTCAGACCCGAAAAAAATGTAAAAAGGTTGGTGTTGCTGTTGCGTCGAGTGAAAGTTGACCCAAAGCGTAGCAAATTTTATGATTTTCTTCTTGTTTCCCCGGTGTGAGCTGCTTTGTTGCCAAGTTTTTGCAATAAATTACGCATTTTATGCATGCCCCAAGAAGAAGGTTGCCCATGGAAATTTATATACTTTAGATGAAAAGTTTTAGGCTCAAAAAGCTGCTTTAAATTTGGGGAGTGTTACCTAAGAAATCGAATTACTTTTTTTAAAAACCTTATCTCTCGAAGAAGAAATTCCAAAGTGCTTTGATAAAACTCAAGGGATCCCCAGAGTTATTTCTACCCATCCTCATTTGCATTCCGGCCTCTGTTACCGCATCTCAAGCAGCTTTCGTCACGCGTTTGAATGACAGTTGGCAACATTTTTAATAACTCGAGCAGAAAAATATTCAACAATTGTAGCACTTTCTGTTATTGTTGTTACCGACTTTTGGACAAGTCAAGTGGAATGCCCCCCACCTCGCATCCAAGCCATTGTCATGGAAATCGAAAGCAAACAAACAGCCGCTACAAACTACTGTAAATTGTTGAAATATTTTTGTTTCGTTTTCGGGATATATATTTTTGTGAAAGGTTTCGAGGGCACGGCCGAGGAGAAATGAGTGTAAAATTGTAAATTAGATGGCAATGTGAAGGCATTTCCTGCAGACGTGTCAATAAACAAAAGAACACATCCGAACCATCCGAGGAGAACCTGCAGTCGGGGGCACTTGAGGTGTTAGGGGCACGAGGGGGCCGCAAAAGTAGTAAATTTATTGGAATACTTACGTATCTGTGAAGTGTCTGTCACTGAGACTGTTCCTTCCGCAGCTAGGTGTATGGCTTTGTTGTGTGCACACTGTGACATTATTACGTAATCTTCTACTGTACATAATGCACCTGAAATCACCACCTGGAAGGAAAGAAAGGGGGTATTAAAGATCTAGAACAAGTTATAAAATAATATTTTAGATTATAAATGAAAAGGACTCCCCTTAAGAAAAATTATGCAATGTTCCCTGCTTAATAATAACTTTTAGCGTATTTTTCCAGTTTATGAGTTCTCTACTTTTTCTCTCCCATTTGTGGCCACCTTATCGCCGTGCTATCTGCCAACCGGGCCATCAATAATTGTATCTATCAGATACCAAAGGCAGAAAGAGACCAACAGCAATAACTACAAAATATCAAAGCTAAATTGCATACCAATGTTTACACGTTGTCACGACAAATACTTTGATACCCTCGGCACAGTGCAAACAAGGCACAAAAGTATTTCATGTTGTTTGCCTGCCTGTTCCTCTATTGCCATCTTGGGGTGCCCCCCTTTTCGGCGCCCCTGAACGGGGCGTATGTCGGTAGCCTTTGGCCTCCCTTCCCCTTCCGCCGAAAAGCCCTCTTTGCTGGGTAATTTATCATGTTTGATTAGTTGTCTCTTTGGTATTTTATTACATTCATTAATAATCGCGCCTTTGATTTAATGAATTTATTGTTTCGCCAAGCGGGCGGCGCTTGTGTTCCCCCCTTTCCTCAGTTATTGTGCCAGGTCAGGTTGTAAATCAAATCGGACCCAGATTTACCTGCGATATATGGAAGTCAGGTGCTTCAGGGCTTACGGTAATGTTAGGAGGACTTTGGCCATGTAATTTCGATCATTTCTGCCTTGGATTTTTATAGCAAATGCTTACTTGTTTTTGCAGATTTATGGGAGTAACTATCTTTATTGTATCTCTATAGCTGGTTACGTTTTGTTTACTCTTCAGGGTACCTATCTTTTTTATATTATAGTACTTTTTCCCTAGACATTTTTGCTGGTAAAATCTGAATGAATATTGGTTACAACTTTTTCTCGAGTACCTTTGCCACTTCCCCTCTCCTTCTCTCACACATGCCACACCTTATCTCCATTCATAATTTCATCAACCCAGAAAAAATAACCAAACTCTTTTGTGTGGGGCCTTGCTACGGTTTATTTATTAGAACTCTGTCGATAATTACAAAATAATGCGTTTGGTTGCCCCTAACCCGCCGAAAACCCCGCAACCCTTGGCTTTTTCTACCACTTCATTTTACTTCGGTGCCCAACCTCCTACGCCCCCTCCCCGGTGCCACCCACCTTGAGTATCTTCAGATACACTGAGAAAAAATTAAAATTAAATATGTATTTGACATACCACTTATTTCCTACTAACTTTACTTTGGCTAAATATTAAAGCTAGTACTGAAGCTTTAAAAATCTTAACTTAATATGGACCATGTTATTTACTAATTTTAGTTGATTTTTTTCTCTGTGCAGCAATGCTTGGGAAAATAAAGCGTGCACATTGGTTACGGGGATCGAAACGAGGTTACCCGGGGCATAAATTCGAGGCGAGGAAGTGCTCGATAGCATTACAAAGCGTGCGCCTTGATAAGATTTCGAAGCTACCAACTGGAGAGTTTGGTGAGCTTATTGAAGAATTGAGGAAGTGTTTGGCCCGCGAGTTCTTTGTAACTTGGCTAATTTGTCGCCCGATAGTCGTGATTGAGGCTGCGGTTTTCTCGAGAGGCCTTGATAGTTATTGTTTTATAGATTTCGAGGGCTTTGCCATTCGAGTGGCGAACACAAGGACCGGTGGCGCTGTAAAGTTAAGGGTGATTCTTTATATCACAGTTCTATTTTGTGGTTAGTCGAGGAAAGTAAAGAAAAAAGAAAAGTAAAATCTTTAAGGAGACCTATTAAAAACAGTAATCAGATTTTAAGAATTTTTTATGTGTAATAAAAACCACAAGTCTAAATTAGTACCATGTCTTACATATTTACATCTAACGGTTTCTAATAATTTTTTAATTATGTTTTAAAAATCCATTAATCGTTGTTCCAAAGTACCTACCTCCCTCGAATTCCCGAAAACTTCCTTCATAACATTTTCTTTTTCATTAAATTTTTCATTCTAAAATTCATAAAATTCTGAACCAATCTGGTTATGAAAATCGCGATATATCCTCCGTTTTAAAGTGCCCCCAGTGCTGTCAAATCGCTTCGGAACGGAACCCATTACAAACATAATCTAATAATACCACTTCACCTTCACTTTGCCGGGCCATCGATCATTGGCAATACTTACAATAAAAAACAGCAGTCTCTCTAACTGATTCGACATTCATTCGGCGATTAATGTACATAATTTTAACCCATTTACTGCCGGCACAGAGCAGTAAACTAAAATTCAGAGGTGTCGCAGTCGCTGGGTGATAACGTGCTGGTTAATTGATGTGGCTGACATTGGGCAGTTTCGGCGTTGTAATCCCCGTGTAATCGCCAATCGCCAGTCGCCCCACTTGACCGATAGCTCTCCTCCGCTGATATGCAATATTGGCAATATTCTGATTCTGATTCTGCGATACTTGTACGTTCAGAGCGAAACGAAATCGAAACTCATTTCTGGCCAGCGAACACACACACGTGCACACTCGCGAATTCACACACACGCGATGTACTTCCGTTTGCGGATGCAGTAGTAATAATAAAATAAAATATATATTTGTTATTCAAAACTTTATGGGGGCACGTTTCCTTTTTCCGTTATATGGGGGGTGTGTAAATCGCGTAATGCACGGGACGTTGGATAAAAAGTCGGGCGGTTCGGCAGCGAGACGTTGGACGTCTTGGCAGGGCGATCGAATTATCGTGACTAAACCGAGGCGAAACGTGCGACATTTTTTGGCTTTGTGTTTTTCTTCCTTTCCACACAAGCAGCAGCAGCAGCAGCGACGCCAGCAGCAGCAACAGCAACGGCAGCAGCAACGGCAACATTAGCGCAACCAGCAACATTAGTTGGCGCAGCAGCAACATCGGCAGCAGCACCAACAACAACAGCCAAAGATGAAAAGCAGTTTGAAAACTTGCGCATTTGTTGCTGCTCCCCTGAGAAAGTCTTTGCCTGTGTGTGTGTGAGCGCGGCCATTGCTGCTGCAATGTCACATTTATTGCATGCGATATCCGCCCTGAGAGCAGCGTGCAACACGCCATGTTAGCCAACAGCTGTTGCCGATCGAACATGTCGCCCGCGGTTTGAGCTGTTAAAGCAGTGGGCGCTGTTAAAAGGCAGTTACGGTCGACCTGTAACTCTGTTAACTGCTTTAATTCGAATAAAGAAATTATGTTTTAAATTGAAAATTTACCTTTTGAAACTATTCGTTTTTTCTGTCTAAAGAATCTATGCCATTTTTTTTTAGTTTTTTTAAATTATTGATCAATTATGAACCTAATTATTTTTAATGTTTTTACTGAGTATTTAAATTTAATTTTTTTCTATACCCTATGTTTTAAGAGCTTTCTATATTTTTTTACAATTAACCAACTCTTTAATCTAAACAACGAACTTTTATTCACTTAAATTAATTTTAATTACATGTTTTGACACCTCCGGAAATTGGTAATTAATTGCCCATAATGAGTTTAGCCAACTAATTAGTTGGCTTAATTGAATTAACCAATGAAGTATATCTTCCTAGCTTCTTTACAAAGAACTTTCATTAGCTTACAAACTGTTCAAGATGTCGCTGTTGAAAATAATTTTCATCATCATCTTTCTGAGATTGGTTTTTTCTAAACCGGATAACATCATTAACACAATTGACTGCCAAACTAAAGATAAAAACCCACATTTACTTCGGCCTTACAATGGAAACTCTTGAAGAACTGAATTTAGTTACTAATCAGCCCAAATTGTTGATTTATAAAAACATTAGTGAAGAGCTAAAAATGAATCACGACGAACCAGTTTTGGTTATAATACAACTCGAAAAGGATTTGGACTTAAATCTGGAAACGGTGGCGGTGCTGAGATCCCATCTGATAGATAGACAGTACAACGATATATTGCTCATAGATGGAGATACGGAAAATGTGAAAAGTTATAAGGAACTTGGGAAAGCTTTCTGGGATGCAGGCTTTCCACGTGTCCTAATTTATAATTTGCAAGAAGAACTTTGGTCAATAAAACCCTACCCATATCTGGAGATAAAGTCTACCAGCTTAAAGGAGTATGTTAAGAATAGAAATGACCGAAATTTAATGGGCTATCCCTTGCGAGTTCTGGTCACCAATGACCCACCTCATTGTTTTGTGGATGAAGATGAACTACCGAATTCCCCGAATCGCTATAAGGGAAGTATAATTACCATTTTAAAAATATTCGCCGATCAACTCAATGCGACTTTCAAAGCGGTGCCTTTTCCAGGACTTCGTCGCTACTCCACCGCGGAATGTGTGCAGATGGTCAGAGACAACGAGGCCGACGCCTGTGGCAGTATCTTCGTAAGGACCTACAAGTATGCCACCAGTCAGCCAGTTCGTCTGAATCGTGTGGCTATAATGGCGCCATTTGGGAACCCCATCGACAAATTCTACTACTTCTTCAGACCCTTCGACTCGTACGTTTGGATCGGAACTGGGCTGATGGTGGTCTATATATCGGCGATGGGTTCTTTGCTTCCATCGCTGGCATTTCGGGCAATGGGATGTGGGTCAGTACCTCCTGCTGGCCATTGAAACCCTCTTGAACCGGGAACTATCTCTGCCGCCGTCTTCGAGTGGCTCCAAATTGATGTTGCTGCTCCTGCTCTTTGCCATTGGATTCATTTTGTCTAATCTATATGTGGCCCTGCTCTCCATGATGCTGACCACCAAACTGTACCAGCGGCCCATAGAGAACTTGGCCGACCTGAAGGCGGCCAATGTGAGTATACTGCTGCAGACCCACAATATCGGCCCGAATTCGGTTTACGGAAGTTCAGAGGAACTGAGGGAGAGATTCCTTTTGGTGGAGGAATCCGTGCACAAGGAGAAGCGGGGTGGATTGGACACGAGCTACGCATATGTGGACTCGGAGGACATGATGGACTTCTACCTATATCAGCAGAAGTTCCTGCGAAGGCGCCGCATGAAGAAGCTGCCTAATCCAGTGGGCCACACCTGGGCCGTTCAGGTTATCAAACAAAACTGGGTGCTGGAGAGGGAATACAACGATCATGTTCAGCGATTGTTCGAGACTGGCCTACAGAATAAGCTGGTCGACGATGTCCACGAGTTGGCCGTTAGAGCCGGCTTCCTGCACTTCCTTCCCACCCAAACGCAAACTATCGAGCCTCTGCGACTCGAGGACATTGTGATGGCTGCCATGGTCTTGGGCGGCGGACACGCCCTCGCCGGAATCTGTTTCCTGGGCGAGCTGCTCGCCTAATGGGCTCACTCTCCATCTCAATCACAATCACGGGAATGGCAATAGTTCCGGCTGGCCATAAAAACGGTCAACACCCACGCAATAAAGCGGAACCACCCTTAAGTGTATCACAATTTAAAGCGATTAGGGTCACAATAAGGCAACAGAATGAGGACCCGCATGCGACATCCGTTGCCAGGACACTCGCAAAAAAATTAAACGAAATTTTACAAAGAGATTAATAAACTATTTTTAGATGGAATAATAATTTTATGGAACTTTTTTTGTATGAAAAAAAATATTTGTTCTCCCTATTTTATTTGTATTTATTACACAGGCCGACAAAATGTGACATGGGTCGGTGTCCAGGCCTGCCACCATTTTATTTCGGTAAATGAGGCTTTTCTAAGCATAAGTTGCCACTACGCCTATAGTCCATCAGCTCTGGTATTTGCGGTATCTTTAATTTAAGAAAATCACAAATTTTCTTCGTCTTTTGGGATATATCTTCAAGAGTGGTCAACCAATTTTGGTAATCTTTTCGGAATTAAATAGTTACATGTCTCTTTTATACGGTCGTTTTGGAAAATTCAATCTAACTCAACCACAAGAGGAGGTGGGCGCATTCAAAGTTTTAAAGTCACAGCAAAGTTTAAAAATCTTCATTTGTGAACAGCGTTTAAAAATTAAATAAAAATATTTTCTTCTACGATGCATTTTTGATCCAAAGACACCTTATGTCCTTAATTTTCAGGACACTCATCAGGTTTTTGTGAATTGTTTTGGAGTTTATAAAATTGTTTTTCTTCCTTCCTTCACAGTGACGATTCACAAACAGTGCCCAAACCTGTCACAATTTTAAATATCATAATTCTAAACGATCTAAGTAGTTTTGCTTTGAGTATAAGCACATGAGCGTAGCCTACTAATCTTTGGGGGCTGAAATGCTTGAAGTGATAATCCCCTCCAGCTTTTAGCTATACGCTTATGTATAATATATTTTAAAAGCAAGGGTCACTTGTGCTCAATTAAATAGTTATGAGTTACTGTAAAATAGTGACAGGTTTGGGCACTATTTGTGAATGGTCACTGTGAAGGAAGTAAGAAAAACAATTTTTAAAAATTCCAAAACAATTCTCAAAAGCCTGATGAGTGTCCTAAAAATTAGGGACATAAGGTATCTTTGGATCAAAAATGCATTGTAGAAGTAAAATATTTTTATTTAATTTTTAAACGCTGTTACACAAATGAAGAATTTTAAAACCTTTGCTGTGACTTTAAAATTTTGAATGCGCCCACCATCCTCTTGTGGTTGAGTTAGGTTGAAGTTTTCCAAAACGACCGTATAATTAAGAGACATGTAACTATTTATATTCCGAAAAGATGACCAGTTGTTGGTTGAACCCATCCTCTTAAAGATATATCCCCCATATAAAACGAAAAAAATTTGTGATTTTCACTTAAATTAACGCTACCGCAATTATCAGAGCTGATGTGACTAATAGGCGTAGTGGCAGCTCTATGATTAGGTAAAAGTCACTGAAGTTTACCGTAAAATATTGGAAATGGTCACGGGCCGGACCACACGTCACCATGTCAATTTTGCCGGCCTCCGTTATACTTTATTAAAATGTTAATTGGAAATCTTATAGAGATGTAAGATACATACTAGCATTTTTTCAAGTGCACAATAAGTATGTCAAATGGGTGGCATTACTCCACTTATCCCGGCGGAAGTTGCCAAAAATGCAGCAGTTGATTGAACATTGATTGACAATGGCTCCCGGACAGGATGCGGAACACAAGAAGGGGGCGCGGTCCACTGACAATCGATTCATGGACGTCGAAGTGAATGTGAATGTGGATGGGGATGGGGAGGTGCCACTGCTCCTTGGATTCCCTTTGTGTGGCAAGACAATGGCGATTTGTGCACCGTGAGCAGTCCGCTCCTCGCTCTTTTGTCCTCCCCCTTGCCTCCTTGCCGTCCTTGCGTCCTTGTAATCCGCCGATGATAATGGGCCATTGTCAGTATCGATGTTCGATGTGGACTTCTGATTTCTGACGCCTGCCGATGACGACCAATGGCAGGCACTTGGCTCGCCGGTTGATTGCTGACGCACTTTGGCACAGACACGGATTGGATTGGATTGGCTTGAATTGGATTGGATTGCCCTACTGGGGGCACTCTAAGCTCATTAAAGTCTGGCGAAATTAGGTGTATGACAGTAAGATAGATTGGGCATTGATTAGAGGGTGTGAAATAGCAAATAATTGGCCGGTTTAAAAGGATTATTTGGGGATAGTTAGAAAGCTATAGCTTAAGAATTTTATTTCAATAGAAGAAGGGAATTAAATATGTGCAGTTACTATTTTTCTATTAAAAGAAGGGTCTTTATTTTATGGCCTCCCTAATAATAAGAATTAAATAAATTGGTTTTTAAATAGACTTGCTACTATAAATAGCAGGCATTGCAGTAAAAGCAAACATGTGGTCAGTTCGTTAGGATTAATTCGGTGTTCTGGGGGTTGAAACTGCTAAAATGACATTTCAATTCAGTTAGAACCTTTAGGAGTCACGTTCAAGTACTCAAAAGATAATTACACTTTTCAAATGTGAAACGAAAATAACAGAAACCTTAAGTGGGATTCGGTTGTTTTGTCTTCCCCTTCAATCAACCGATATCTTCTGTTCGGTCCAAAGGTTGTTCCATGAATAATTTTGTGCAGGCGATTTCATCATTCTCGTGACTCAGTTGTTGGATGGAACCCATCCACAAAAAGCTCTGCCCCCTCCATATTAAATCGTAAACAATTACTTTTCACTTTTACCACGCTACCGGTTATCAGGGCTGTTGCCAACTGACAAAAACCCGTACAGCAGCTCCTATATTACGGGTAAAAGTCGACTGAAGTTTCGTGAAAATATTGGCCAAAGTCACGGGCCGGATTGCTATCGCTGTGACGTCACAAGGAATGTGCCACGAAGATTGCCACCGATTAGATTCGCTTACAAACAACTCAAAATATGTTAAGTTGTCAAGTGATAGCCGAGGGCTGTTCATTAGCGAAATAAAAGTTTCTAGACGTGGCTGTCATCGAGATTGCTGGGATGTGTTTTGCACCTACTCAATAGAGCCAATTAATCGATATTATGTGATGTTTTAACCGTTGGGCTCTTCAGATCAACGGGATGTTTTTTAGTGAAATTCTTTGGAAAATGGGGGATTTTTTTTCTAGATTACACTTGAACTGAACCCATTTAAAGGTGCTAGATAGGGGATTGGAATTTATTTATTGCGTTATCTCTTCATTGAGGGCAAAAACGTGATTTGATTTGGTTGTATTAAAAGCTGATATAATATAATATTTATTTCGTAATCTTTTTTTATTTTTTTAAGGGTCGAGACTGGCACAAAGCTTTGTAAATTGGTCTTTTTTTTATTAGCTGGAGATCTTTGTCCCTTGAAGGCCTTCAAGTGAAAACAAAACGTCTTCCGTTGAGGTCAAGCTAATGCCAAAACTAATACCAAACTCAAATCAATCTTTATTTTGGCAACTTTTTCGCAGGGCTGGCCGGCAGTGTTTCGGCCAATTAAGCGGATACCGCAAAAAGCTAATTAATTTTTTTCCCTGCCCATTTGCCGTCAACGGCAGCCGAAAACGCTCATCAAACTAATTGGCCGACCGGCTGCGTGGGTGGTCATTTTAACCTCTTGGCCAACTACTCGGCTTGGCTTTAATTGCATGCGCCGGTCGCCGAGAACCTGCCAACGACAGGCATTTAAAAAGACGCAGCTTATTGTCTGCTTAATGGCTTCAAGCGAGCCAAGCTGCTGTTTTGGCCAAAACACCCAGCCAACTCAAGGCCCGGCCAAAAGCGTTTTGGCGCTTTTTTTCGGTTTCTTCGCCGTTTACCGTTTGGCCTTTTTGACATCGGCGTGACAACCGACTATGCCGTTTAATAAACTCAACAATTTAATTTGCCATTTTGACAAACAAATTGTTTTGTTACGTTTCGTTCGGTTTCTCTATGCTGAGAGAGATTTGATTAATTCAGTGAAGACATAAATACCGTGGTAATAGGCTGTAAGTAATGGTAAATCTATCAAAAGGTTTTTTAAATTAGCTTTTTTTTGCCCATTTACAGAAAATACATTATTTTAAATCCAGGCTGGAAAAGGTTCTAGCGCACGCTATAGCGTGATAATGAGGTTTCAAATTACTAAATTCCATCTCGTTAATATTTTATAATATGGTTAAATTGTTTTTACTCACATTTTAGATAGGAAGAAGGAAATGATTTTCCGCAACGTTGCAAGTCAATTAATTTTGGTTAAAACTGTGCAATACAAAATAAATATTTGCAGTTGATTATCGCGTTGACAGCCCCATGTGGCTGTGGAACGCGTTGGCAACTCCGCGTTGGCCCCACTTGAACTTTGTGGCCAACTGCTGACCAGCTCCCTAATCGCCCTTCTCCCTCGCACAGCTGTCCCTCTCACTCCCACTCTAAGCGCCACTATTTACTGTCAATCATCGCGGCCTTTTTGAGGCGGGTGGGTGGTGCCAGGCGGTGGGTGGTGAGCGGCGGGGTATGGTATCGCTCAATCAATATCAATGACTGATTACGATTAAACGCCGTGTCCACGCGCTAGTTGGCCATTTGGCTTTTTGGCGAGCCTCCATTTGGCCAGGTGAAAATGCGAAAATGCCTGGGAAATGAGTCACCCGCGGGGGATATCGTGTGGCCAAAAGTTATAAGGAAATCTTTGACAGTTGGCACAGGTGAAAGTTGTTTTCGGAAGGCTCAACAAGATTGATGGGCTGGAGAACCTTCAACTAAACAATTATTTCTAGTTACTACAGGTAATCATTTGACCTTACTTACTTGCTTAAGTACTTGAGCTTTCTAGGGAAATTGAGTTACTCAGATTTGTTCAACGAATATTAATCCAATGGGGAACACAATAAACGGGTAGGATATAATAGGAGAGTAAATTCCCTTGAGTTAGGGTAAGAAC